TAACATATACAATTATGCATGATTTCACAATGCAATGTATCTAAGTAAATATTAATGATTGTTTAAATGTAATAAATATATTATGTGATTTAAGAACACATTATGTCATGATTTCAGGCGAGTACTGTCTTGCACCACTGAGTGACGATGCTACTGTAACTATGCTGACCAACGTTCTCCAGAACAACTTTGGAGGAATAGACACTGTTCATGTTAAACAATCTGAAGCTGAGAAATGGGGAAAATGGGTAAGAGACATATGGAATTTGGTTCAAAAAAGGTTTCGAGACTCTATAAAGAAGTTTATTGATTGTCCAATATTCCCAATAATAAGTGTGGATAACGGGGAAAATATGTCTGACTTCTTATTGATAAAACTTAGTACGAACATTTTACATTTACCATTGTTGAACCAAATCGAGGATAGAGTATTAATAAAACGTGCATTCGACTTGTTATTGGTGTCAGTTACTGAGAACATCCCCTTTGATATTGACGTTGGTCTTATAAGTCATTTTATATATGACGACACGAGTAAACGAATAACATCTCTATTCGGGCAACTATCATCTCAGCAAGTGTGCAAATTCAACAACGACACCTGTGATGAGAGTAGTGCTGCTCTGCTGAGGTTTTTGGCCGAGCGAATACACACCAGTATTTGTAAAACTGGTAAGCAAACCATACGGAAACTTAGACTTTTCAGAGGATATAAAATTCAAACACAAAGCGATCTTGTTTCATTGAATGAAATAGATAAGGTTTACTACGGTAAAGAATATCCAGTCCATTTTCCATTTACAATCATTATGTTGAATTCGAATGAAGAAAAGGTCTTAACAGAACGTCTAGACGCAAATGTAGTATCTGAACTAGAACTGGTAAGAAAAACGATTTGCAGTATAAATGAATATAAATCAAATGAGCAGGAAACGTTTGTGTTTTGGATTATATTGAAAGGAGAACATTTCCAGTATCATGATGTTCAAGAAAAATTGAAGCATGTTGCTTTTGTTAAGTCCACTGATGAGTTGTTCTACAAGCCAAGCGATTTGTTCGATCCATCCGAACAGATGATATGTGATCTGTTCAAGGGGGAAGCTTTGTTTCCAGTATTAGACGAGCATGAGCATAGACCTTTATTGCTTGATGGTTTAAAATCTCTCGGGCTCAAAACAATAAAAAACCTTACCGTACATGATATTAATCGTGTCAGTAATGCAATTCATCATATGACTGATGGAACTGTAGAACTGGACTTAACGAAATGCAAAGCATTACTACATGTTATGAATGAATACAGTCATCTTGTTCAAAAAGATTTTATTAACACCAGGAGATGCATATTTATTGAGGACACTATGGAAGATATTTATTCTAAAAATATTCCATTAAAAAACAGACAGAATAATAATTCTAATACCTCAACCTTGATTTGCACACCAATGGAAATTCACTCAGCCAAGCATGTAAATCTGATTGGATCAGTTATGTTTATAATTGATAGCAAACGTTTACAAGCATTGTCTAGTGTCTTTCAGTGGGATTCCCAACCGAAAGTAAGCATGGTCTTAGAACACTTACGTATTATTGTAAAAACATATCAGTCAAACCTTAAAGCGTCATATCTGCCTATTGTTACTTGTATTTATGAATGGCTTTCAAAACAGGATGAGGTCGGGAAAGACGATCTGAAAATAATGATCAAAAACCGGTTTCCAAAACCAAATAATTCATTTGTTTGGGATGGAAGCATATTCCAACCTGTCGAAGCAATGTACATTGAGAAATCAAAAGGCGAAATAGACCTTAAACCATTTTTGTATCCGCTTCCTGCAGAACTTCAGACTTTAGCAGACTTTTTTATGCAACTTGGATGTCTACGGTCGATTGGATATGATTCGTATGTGGCAACTTTGCAGCAAATAAAGATTTTAGAACAACAGACAATAGATGATGACGACGTTGCAGAGAGATTTACAGAAATGGCTATAGCAATTTTGAACAGAATAAAAAAGAGCTTTCTTGATGACTTTGTCAGAAGTGAGAGAAATATCTTTTTTCCAACAATAGGAGAAAGTGGTGGCATTCAAATGATACCAACTGAGTCCTGCACTTATTGTGATGAACAATGGCTGAAAAACATGGACTTTCAATTCGATGGTGACATTTATTACATTCACCCAGACCTTCCAATATCAACAGCTGAGGCTCTCGGTGTTCCGTCATTACGCCAACAAATGATGAGCGACACAGAGGCATTTGCTGAATGGGGACAAGAAGAACCTTTAACAAGACGGCTAAGAAATCTTTTAAAGGAAGGATATGTTGATGGGTTTTCTGTGGCTAAAGAATTGTTTCAAAATGCTGATGATGCGGGGGCAAAGACACTATGTATTTTGTTTGATGAGCGAGAAAATAACGAAGCAAAGACAGGACTTATTAGTGACAAAATGGCTGAATGTCAAGGACCAGCTATCTGGGCTTACAACGACGAACAATTCGCTGAGTCTGACTTTAGAAATATAACAAAACTTAGTGGTGCTACAAAAGAAGACGATTCTACCAAAATCGGTAAATTCGGTTTAGGATTTTGCTCCGTTTACAACATAACAGATGTACCAAGTTTTGTGTCAGGGGAAAACATGGTGATTTTTGACCCTGATATGTCACATCTTGGGAATGTTCTATCTGGACGAAGCCCAGGACTCCGTGTCAACTTTAGAAAGATGAGTAACGTAAAACTGTTAAAAAGTCTCCGAAATCAATTCTTGCCATTCGAAGGTATATTTGATTGCAGAATTCTTGACACCGCATCGCCTTTTTTCAAAGGAACTTTGTTTCGGTTACCATTGCGAAACAAAGCAAGTGATATAAGTGATGTAGTTTACACGAGAACAGAGGTCAAGGAGTTATTCGAAAAAATAATGTCCATGGCAGCAAACATGCTTCTATTCAATCAGAATGTTGTGCATTTCAAACTTCTACACATACCTAAAACGGAACATGATCCAAAAAAGGCATCATTATTATTTGAGGTTCACAAGATCCCTGTTCGGTTGTGTGCAAAAGATGGTGCCGGATTAAATGCTTCCTCTATGCTAGTCGAGGCTTCGGAACGTAAACGAACCAAGACACTATTACACAATCCTTTACAAGCCATAAACAAAGTTTCCATTCGTATTAAAGCCTACTGTCACTCAAATTTCAATACACAAACTCTAGATAATGAGTCAGAAGTAGATTGGTTTATTTGTTGGTCGACAGGTATAGAGAAAAAAACTATTTGTATGTCATACGAAGAAAAGGGAACCCTACCGCTAGGTGCTGTAGCGATACCAGTAAAGCATACGAAAGAAGGAAAAGTTAATGTTTCATCGCTCGATAAACTTCCGGGGTGTTTTTATCAAACGGGACATCTATTCTTTTTCCTGCCATTACCTATAGAGCATAAATTTCCGTTCCATATAAACAGTCAGTTTGCAGTAACATCAGACAGGAGACAACTTAGAACTGCGACGGAAGATGACAAAAATGTTAAAATGAAAGACTGGAATAGATATCTCCTTGAAGATTCCGTAACCCAGGCATTACTATTTTTACTGACACAACTTCATTCACACATTTCTATAGGCGAATATCATTTTTCTCAATTCTGGCCGAAACACGACACTTCAGAAGTTTTAGAATTTTTACCAGCAGCATTCTATCGAAATGTTGTCAAACCAGGCATTTACGATGTGTTTGAAAAAAACGGACAGTGGTTTGATATTTCGAGGTGTATATTTGTCGAAAGGAGTTTGCGTACATGTAAAATTGGCGATATTGTATTTGAAGTATTGTCGATGTTAAACGAATTTGTTGTAGATGTTTCAGATAACGTTTATGACATGTTGTCAAAAGCTGATCAGTCAATGATAGAACAGAGGACAGTTACGACAGAAACCTTTTTTTTGGAGTACTTGTTCCCCAATCTTGAAGACTTTTCATCTGGAGAAGATATAAAAGAAAAGAGGAAAAAACTTTTGTATTATGCTGTTGATCTACAGAAAAGTGAAATTGATCAGTGGCTCAAACAGAACAAATCTATACCGTCCCAACCTTACGGTATACTAAAGTTTCCAGATGAACTAATTGATATCAACTCATTTTGGGGACCACTGTTTGTCTCAGCAGATGGTTTTTTTCCTGAATGTCCTTTTACTGACAGATATATTTCAATAAAGTTACAATCTCTAGGTCTAATGTACAATGTTTTGTCTGATGAAATAGTGTTAAATCGTGCCAAATCGATTGAAACTTTACATGCGAAGTGTTGGATATGTTCTGTTGAAAGATCAGGACTCCTGTTAAGCTATCTAGCTAAGCAAATATCAGTCCATCAATCTATATCCAAAGACTTGAGTGCTATCAAGTTCATACCCGTGCAAAAACGACCTACTGGGTGGATATTTGATTGGCACGCTGACATGTTTGGATCAATAAAAACGAAAAAGAAATGCAAAATACACAGTAAAACAAATGAATACAATCATTTTACTCATTTTGAGCGTCCCGCTAGCGTGTATGATAGTCATTGTAAGAATATTGTTGGATGCATTGCTTTTGTTTTTGACAATAGTTCGTTCCAGAAACATTTTCAAAGGACTGAAAATAGACAGAAAATGTTAAAATCAATTGGAATAAATGGCGTAACAAAAAACAATGTTGATGTAAACTTTGTAATAAACCAATTATTGTGCGTTGCGACATCATTTGAAGATACGACAAAGGAAACCACTGCAATAGAAATATATGAAATTATGCAAGATATTTACTACCACATTAATAATGCATGTATGTCAAAGGAAATGGCAGATCATGTAGCATCGTTAATTAAAGAAAAGGCAGTTGTGTTCGTATCAGGCACATTTGTCACACCAAATCTGGTTGCGCGAGATTGCATATTTGGTTGTAGGCCATACCTTTTTAGCTTGGAAGAATCCCCTTTAAGTTCTTTTAAATGGTTATCAGAATGCCTATCTATAAATGACTATTTCGAGCCTTCATTCATTGCTTTGGTTCTCCAAAAGCTGAAAAATGATAAAGGTGAAAAATGCCTTTCTGAAATTGAAATTCGTGTAGTTATCAATGTTTTGAATTGCCTTAAGTATAGCATGTTGCATGGCAAAGCAACTGAAGTCCGCACAGTTCCTGAAGAATGGAACGAGACAATTTATGGGCCAGATGAGAACGGTATATTGAAGGAGTGTATATCTATGTGCTTCAATGATTATGATGGCATTGAAAAAAGTGAATCAATGATTTATTCCCATATTAGTTTTCCGGCAGACCTTGCAAAGTTTTTTGGAGTTAAGCCAAAGATTATCCATAGCTTTGAAGAATGTTCAGACGACATTGAAGATTTTTATCAAGACGAACCTCTTGTTGTTCGTCTCAATAGGCTTGTTGATGGATATCCATGCGATTCTGGAATATTCAAAGAATTGATACAAAATGCAGATGATGCAAATGCAACAGAAATACACTTTATAAAAGATTATACAATGCATTCCCAGGTTAACATCATCGATTGTAACTACGGACCTCTACAAGGACCTGCACTTCTTGTCTTTAACGACAGTTCATTCACAAATAAAGACTTAAAAGGTATTCAAAGTCTTGGTCGAGGGAGCAAATCCGACGACCCTTCGCAAACCGGTCGCTACGGAGTAGGCTTTAATGCTGTTTACAACTTGACTGATTCTCCATCCTTTTATACTAAAGGTGGAGATATTGAAAATGGAGAAACACTTTGCCTTTTCGACCCTTTAGCAAAATATTTACCAAATGTAACAAGAAAAAGACCTGGAAAACGCATTAAAAATGTAGAATGGTTGAGAGAAATATACGGAGATATGATGAGTGGTTATCACGAGAAAGAGTTGATGACTAAATCATCAGGAACAATCTTTAGATTTCCATTAAGGACTCAGAAAATGGCAGAGACGTCGGAAATAAAAAAAGAAGCTGTTGATATGGAAACAATATCGATACTGCTCAATGCATTTTCTGAAGATATTAAAAATATTTTGTTATTCCTTAAACATTTAAGGAAGGTGAAAATTTCGTCATGTATTAATTACCATTTGAAGGAAGAGTTCTATATTGAGGTTCAAATGAAACCAGAAGATGTTGATAAAAGAAGTAATTTTGTACAACAACAAATGCAACTTTGTAAGAGTATGAAAAGTAATAAAGAGCATTTATTTCAGTTTGATCAAATTCAAGTGGCGTACGAAATGGCAATGCACGAACAGTTTAAAAGTCAACAGACTACTGTGTCAAACTACATTGTTATTCAAGTATTAGGCTTTCAAAAAGATTCCGAAGTCAATCAAATCATTAAAGAAAGTATTGCAAATGGTAAACTTGGGTTATTACCTCATGGAGGTCTAGCTTTAAGATACAGAAAAGGACAAAGAGCAATTTATCAAACTTACTGGGAGACAAATGATAAGTGTAAAGCATTTTGCTTTTTACCACTTCCCATAGAGACTGGACTTCCCGTGCACGTACATGGATACTTTGCACTGGATCATGAAACTCGAAGAACTCTGTGGCGGTCAGAGGATATTAGTTCTTGCTACAGGTCATCTTGGAATAACTTGTTGATAGAACATGTCATATCGACAGCGTATGTATATCTTTTAAATTACATAAAAAACATACAGTTCCGAAGAATCTCAGACAATGAAGTACCATCAGTGAGGGTTTTTGATGCATTGTCAAGTTTTTTCTTCTTGTTTCCTCGAATAGACAAAGTTTCGGACGTCTACTGGAAGTATTTACTGACTTGCTTATACCAGCAGTTAGTATTAGGATACATCCCATTCTTGCCTACTCTAGGTAAAACTGAAATCCCCAGTTTTACCGGCAATGTTATGTTAAAATGGACACCGCTGACTGTACCAGAGTCTTCTTATCCAGCGTACATAAGAGCTGAAGAAGATGGTAGCAAATACCTTAATGAAATTTTGCTTCTTATTGGCATGCGTATTATTTATATCCCCAAAGAGATAGCAGATGCTATGGCATATTCGAAAGTTGATATATCTGTAGTCAAACCAGCTCAAGTCATAACATTCATCAGTGGAATGGATTGCCAGAATCATTCCTCGAGGAATAGTGAATGCAAACTGAAGTCAGGCGAACTTGTTATCGAAACGGCTTTGAAATCTGTAGAAAATGCAGCTACCATTTTAGAATTTTGTTTAAAAGACATCAAAAGTTTCATAGAAAATCTAGAATACCTACCACTTTTAGTTACAATGGATAACAAGCTACAAACAGTTCCAGAAAATGGATTCTTTTATGTTGAACCTATGGCTCATTACTGTGAATTTTTTGCTTCAAAAAGCCATTTATTCCTACATAGTACAATTGCTAGTGTTGTGGTACATGTGCATATGTCGCATCTTGAAACAAAATTGGGGAAAAAACTAAAACGATTTGAATTGATCGACTTTGTAAATATTGCGAAAGGACCCGGACAAATATATGAGAATTGCAACTCAAGCATACTATGGGACGAAATAAGTCCATCGGAATCATGGATTCGGTTGTTTTGGAACTTCTTCTGTTATCAGCTTCCTGATAATGAAAAGAAAAGCGTTGGTATACAATTGAAAATAGTTGGACTCTTGCCGCTGTTACCTGTAAACAAAACAGCTTCCGAAGAAGTAATCCTTGTGCAGCCTTGTAACATCAAATCTCTTATAAATCTAAATAGTTTTATCCATAACGAACATTTATACAAAGCCATGAAAACGTTAAACCTCCAACAAATTGCAAAGCCTTTCTTTGAAAGGTATGATCAATCTTCCTGTTTTAAAATGCTTCAGGAACACACAGCACATTTTCAGAATCCTGTTGAAATCATAGAATGCTTGTATTTCAACTCATGCCAAACGAACATTAAGAGTCTTTCAGACTACCATGCGAACGAAATTCTTTGGTATTTTGAAAAGTCCCAGCTACATAAATTTCCACAAGGATCACGTTCGAAATTGGAAGAATTACCCTTATTTCTTTCACATTTTGGAAAACGCGTCATGTTGAAGCATTACAATACAATTTACATTGTTCCAAAAACACTTCCGACTGAAGGAATTGAAGAACTTGCAGAAAAGGCAAATGTGTTGTTTTTATGTAGCACAGGACAAAAGAATTTGTTCAAATACTTAGGAATTATAAAGCTCTCAATAATGAATGTTTATACAAAGTATATAATACCAATGCAGAATGTTTTACAACGAAAATGCTTTTATGCACATCTGAATTTTTTAAGTAGTTTAGTTATTGATGAAAATGAAATGGAGTGGGAAGACTTACTTTCAGTGTTACGAACGTCAGCTTTTGTTGAAACAATAGAGGGTCGAAGAGTTAGAGTTTGTGATCTTTATGATCCCGATCACATAGTTTTTAAACGCATGTGTGAAGCTGAAGAGCTTGTGCCAGATTGTCTTAGATTGGACAACATACTCGAGCTTTTCCGAAAAATCGGTTTAAAGACAGAAATGACGATGTCCTTATATGAATGTTTTGCAAGACGAATTAAGGAAAAGGAAAATGTTGAAGGTATTTCTAAATATGTCAGAGAAGATTCAAGATTGTTATCAACAGATTTGTGGATGCGTGATGTAACGTTTTATACGCACCAAAATTTCAATACCATTTCAAAGATACAGTTTGTCACACCTCATGTGGTGGATGAAAGTTTATCAGCAATTGACAGTCAATATAATTGCAGTAAATTGATAAGTTTTGAAGCCTCAGTTCCGACCAATTTGTCAAATATCTCTTGGACGGTATCAAATATTCTTCCGAAACATCTAGCTCCACGTGTGTATGATCAGCATAATTGCCTGAAAGCGCAAAAACTTAAAATATATCAAAACCTTCCGAAAGACAAATTGATCCGCCACTGTGTACATATTGGAAAATGCCTTGAGAAAAAGATCAGCTTGTCGACATTTAAAAGCCATGAAATGCTCATGCATATCATGACAGATGTATATCAGGCTTTAAAAACGTTTTATGACAACGCCGAAATAAATGATGAAGACGTTGACATTTTACAGGGCATTCCAATCATTTACTTTTCGGAAAAGAGACTGATAACCACTGCAAAACATGTGGTTATTGACTGCAAACCAAGACAAGAAATACCCCCATTTCTTTTAAAATGCCCTCAGTCATATCAAATGTATGCGGATTTATTTCTGCAATTAGGATCATCATCTGCACCAACATGTGAACAATTTGCTTTTGTCCTTCATGAATTGAAACTTATGACAGCCGAATCAGAACTTCATCCATTTGAGTATGCAAATGCAATTAAGGCAATGGGTAATTTCTTTAGATGCCTTGTTAAACAAGGAGACACAGTAGCTCTGTCTGTTGAAAGATTGTTCTTATTATCATACAAAGATACACTTGAGGATGCTAAATCTATTATTGTTCCGAATAACGAATACTTTAAAACCCAATTAGCAAAGTGTAAGTCAGAGACGTGCATGTACATCGTTGGGTTTGTGAAACTTCAAGAATACAAATTAAAACTTGAGGAAATCATAGAGAACTTGAAATATTTACCAGATAAACACAGACCGCATCTGTTAACAGATATAGTGAGTGAAAGGGTTTTATTAGAACATATCAAGTATACAGGACATCAAAATGAGTATCAGTACAAAAGTTTTCTACATTCAATGGATTTTGTTTTTGGATTCTTAAGACTCACACGACATGTTTGGAAGAAGGAAAGTATTCAATGGGCAGAAAAGGACGAAAAAGAGATATCAAGTGCAATAAAGACAATAGACTTTAAACAGTGTTCCGGAATACAGACACAATTGGCAATAAAGTGTATTGAGAACGGAACAGTAGGAAACGAACGCTTTATTGACAATACAAACGACCAAAAATTTATACATATTGAAAGAAATGGAGACGGAGCATGTGTATATTTCGACACAGCTGAAGACAGTTGGAATCATTCTTTAACAACAAGCGTTGCGATCTTCTTAAATGAGCTTGTAGGTAAATGCTTCAGAGATGAATTTTTCGTAATACTGATGGATATGATTTCCATGGTAAAGTCACCGGAGCGGATACCATTTTTCTTGAGTAAAGGGAAAATTGAAGAATATACATTACTTTCTATTGACATAGACACTCCTCCTTCTGTTCCTATTCCGGGGAATATTGTTCCGACGAAATTCCATCAGTATCTAGATAACGGTTATGGATTCATTAATGAATATGACTACCAATTTATTGCATTAGAAGTTGATGACCCAGGGCTTAACTTGCACGACTATGGTAATAGTCAAGATGACACTGAGGATAAAGACATTGATTTCGAACTTACATATAAGTTTGTTCACATTATCAAAATGGTTGGCCCTCGGCATGAACTTCCACTTTTTCAAGAGTATGAAGTCAATTATGGATCAGAAGAAACGGCGATAGTAAGAGCATACAAACTTTTCAAGTTTATTCGTAAAAGCAATATAACCTCTGGAACAGACACAAACGTCATTCTTTATAAGAGAAATGAAAATCACGAAGAAGACGAGTCATCGTTGCCTTCATCTTTGAGAGACGCTTATAGTGAAATAAGACGAATTTTGCGTGAAGCATGGCAAAAAGAGCCATACGAGAGAACAGGCATCGTAAAACGTCTTTATCGTAAATGGCACCCTGATAAAAATCCAGACAATGTTCAGTTTTGTACGAAAGTATTTCAATACATTCAGCAATGTTTAGCGCGACTCGAGAAAGGTCTTGACCTTAAGAATGATGATGATGATGAGGATGACAAGTTCAACAGTCGATCAAGCACAGGTCACAGTTACTCAGGTTGGTCGTACGGGAACACGTGGTATGACAGGTATTGGTTCCGATTTCATAGATCAGAAAACAACACTAACAGTTACTCAGAAAACAACACTAACAGTTCTGATAGGAACTCCAATACAAGAGGAACTTTCTCAAATTTTGATGACAGTTGGAGTCATCGGGAAACATACTACGAGCCATATCATTGGTACAACAGAGCAAATAAATGGTACAAACAGGCAGAATATGATTTGAAACATGCGATGGTCTCGCTTGAACAACTTGATGACCCGCAGTTTAATTGGATTTGTTATAATGCACACCAGGTAGGTCAATTGAAATTGATATTGCAGTCCTACGTATTATTCCTCCCAGCCTGCTGAATCTCAGTAAGGGCTTATCAGCTAGAAAATCACTATTAACTATATATCTTCCATTAACACGTCCACTGAGTTGAGAGTTTTGCCATCACATTAATTGCCCCTCTGTATTCTTAGCTAACTTTGAACGATCAAATTTCTGTAGATGTAGATTTTCATAAAGATACACTCACTTTCCAATGTTTTATCTTTCTCCATTCTTTTGTGAATGGTTTGCAGTCCATTTGAATTGTAAAACTTTTTAAAGCAATTATTTGTAAAAATACTTTATATCAGATGATAAATTTTAGCTACTAAATGAATTATATGTTACGACATACCTTTCTAAGTAATAGTTATCTTAATAAAGTTTCATAGTTAAATGTAACTATTGCTCATGTTACTGACTGACCCCCCTCCCCCAAAGAAAAAAAAAGAACAACAAAAATCACACTGTTTACAGATGTAAAATTCAAGACTCTTAATTAATTGACAAGGTAATTGATGTTTTTGTTATTAGCTCGACTAATAGCTTATTAAGTATATAGAGAACTTTCCTACTCGCTTCGGTTTGCACGTCGGCCTCAGCGGCCATACTTTATAAATTAATATTTATGTCCAGTAAATATTTTATCTGAAACATTTTTATTTCTTAAGGTATAAATTTCAAATATATATTCCTTATCATCATCCACATCTTGTGATAAGGTGCAAAACTCTAAAACCAGTATTTCAATTTTTTTATATTCCCTTGAACTTAAAAATGTCCTTAAAAATGTTATTTTTACTCTAACGTCTTTATTTTATATTAAGGGATTGACTTTAAACTTTGAATTAATATGTGTTCTTTATCATCAACTACATCATAATTATGTGAATTTTTTTTAACTCTAGCACCTTTTTTAATGAACTTACATATTTTCCTCAAAACTTACTTCTTTATTTCTTATAGGCCCATTACTCCTCAGAATTGTTATCAATTTCATTTCTCAAAAACTTTTTACTTTTTATATCTTATACACCTTTCGAAAAAACTTTTTGCCTAATTTATGACCTTTTTTGCTTTTGTGTTCTGTCGGCAATGAGTATAATTATAGTGAATAAGTATTTTGTATGGAAGTCAAAACATAACTTTGTTTACATTTTGCTACCTTTTTTACATTTTTTTCCACATCCAGCTCTTGTTTCTACCAAACTGAATGATGAGCATCAATAATAGTTTGAACACATTATTATTATTTCTAAGCATTATTTTGCCCCTTCTAAAAAGAGAAATATAAAATTTAGGCACTTAGGCATGACATGCCTTTAAAATAAAAGTAATTTACACAAGTATTTTCATTGTTAGTTGTGATTAAAAACTTCTTTTAATCCAAGCTTTTGTTGCTTTTAACTCTTATTAAAAAGTGTATGCATCTCTTTAAACTAAAATGAAATTCTTAGTTCTTGTTATACCTAAAATGTTAACTATATCCTCAAGCTTAAACAACTACATACATTCTTGAAACATGATAGGATCATAAAACATTCAATGGTGCTGCTATCAGTGATACTGTGACAATCCATGTAATTATAATTTGATGCTCATCACTGGCCAGAGATAGGAAAGTTTAGTGGAAACTGGAAATCTTGGGTTAATGCGTAGAACTGATTGGCATGTATGCGTTCCAAACGTTAAAAACACATTTCAATTAGCTACAATAATTTAGATTATTAAGATTGTATAGAATACTAATAACTTTACATCCAATTGATTTCTATGTAGGTAGTAGTGCTAAGAATTATTGCAAGAGCCGTAAGCTATTAGCGTAATCTTTGCGAAAAGTCGAATTTACGTCATCCACATTTTCTCCCAATGACAGCAATATTTCCATTACATTCGTTTACATTAGTCATTGAAAGAATTTTTTTCTTTCTTTTTGAAGGCAGCTGAAAAGGCTTTGAAAGCAGCGTGGTATGCGAAAGACGCTAACAAAATTAACAGAGTTAAAACAAGTCACAATATTGCGGATATAGCGCGTGGTTAGTATTTCATCTTCATCAATAAATATTAATGAACATGAACTCTTAATTGAAACAATCAAACAATAGGAAATAACACATCTTTTCTTATTTTACTCGTATGTGAAAATAATTATATCCTTCTGATAAAACTACCGTATCAAGCAAATGGTCCAATATGGTACATATATATTAAATCATTAATAAAATAATATAAGCGAGTGTTTAAAGTGTGGATATAGAACATTTAATCTTGCTTATTTATTTTGAGAAAAACTATTACATTTTTTAATGTTTAAGGTCTCTTTTTTAATTGACCGATTTTGTTTCAAATATTTGCAAATGTATGAGAGGGCTAATATGCACTTGTGTAAAGTTTGAGGAAAAATCAATCATCAGGAAAAAGCATTAACAAAAATGTAAAATAGATAATGAAATAGAGTGTATTATATTTTGATCCATATATTCAAATGATTTATATTTTGTGATCGTAGTGTGTTTAAAATAGTTCGATTTTTTTTAAATGTTACAGAAAATAAAATCATCACTCGATTACTTGACTTCTTGACATGAAGTTGTTTTCTTTATAAAGAGGAGGAGAAAGGTGAAATGAAAAAAAAAAAGAAACGAAAAATAGAAATAGAAATTTAGAAGAATAAAATATATATTCAAATGAAAAGACATACAAAATAAATAAAATGGTAGAAAAACAATGACATCATCATCATAATAATATGGCGGAGCGTAGGGTTCGAACCGAAGAGTGCAAATCACTAAAATTACAGTGACGTTGATTTACCAACTGAGCTTCTACGATGATATAAACTATATATAGTTGTTGACACTTTCAATCTCGGATAATATGCAGACTCACTCTTCAATGGAATATCCCAAGTACCGTTAAAAATCAAAATTATCATCCTAGGACAATATACAATTTTACGAATCATTTTAATATTCAACCATTATGTACAGGTAATTATGTTACACAATGTAGTATGGTTATTTGATATTATCGAAGCGTTATTACAAGCACTTTGACACGGAATTACGCATAAATACATTTCAGATCTCGGATCATCTTTATATACGCATGCATCGCAACTGTCAATGTTAATTGGAGAACATACGCGGATGAGATACCCGGATGATTTAATGTGTAACCTACCTGCAGAAATTTATACAGAGCAGACAGCACGATCAGCGATAAAACTCGCAGAAACAATACTACGATTAGTGAAGACAGATTACACCAACTGCTGACAGATCGTTTTCCATGTCTAGGATAGAATCGAACGTCACATTCATTGACTATGGTGTGCAAAGTATGCAGTTTTCAAGTCGTCCTCCTGGGCTCCTTGCAGCTGACTCTTGTTACTGGGTCGGGTGGGGGCTGTGTTCATTGAACGCCGCCTTTCCTTGATGATCTTGTTTACCATATTTTACCATTTTTATCACTTTTATGAGCATGTGCAGTTATTGTTAAACCGTTATTTATAAATGATATCTATCTCAAAATTGGAGCTAGATCAACAATTCATATTCATTTTAAGGTGAAACTACATATTTTACGTTTAATTTTAAGATTTGTTTCTTTTACATATTGTCTAGAATGTTGCACAATGTAAGCTTATATTGTATGTACTTTTTATTCATTTTATTTTATAATGGCCGTATTGTAATATAGTTGCACGGTGACCGGGAAGTAATTTCAGACATGTTAGTTTTAAGTACAAATAGAATCTGTTATACAGATGCATTGTCGGCTCTCAATAAATTAACATTTTTATAAAGTAACCATGTATATTACCAATTGAAGAGTCCTGTTATTTATATACATGTACTATACTGAATTGTTGCAAGCGCATGCTAGCCAGCTTTTTTTTATTTTTCTTATTTTTCTTACTTATGATGTCGTTCATTTGTATAATAGTGAGTATAATCAACATAGTTTTAAATATTTACATTTGTGTATGCAAAGTACAGACAAAACTACATCTTTAAAAGTTTTAGAATAACATTACATGATCCATTTATATAGAATAAAACCAAATTTGTTATCCGTGATTTTTATTTTCGGGTCAAATTTATTAGAATTTAGAGTAGAAAGTTTGTAAATACATGTGTTAATAGCTCGCCAAAGCACAAATTGCTATATGTGAGCTATTGTGATACCCCAATTCCGGGGTCCACCGTCTGTCGTTAATGATCACTTAAACACCATTTTTTTCCGGACAGCTAGGTCTGTAGAATGATTCCTGGAAAGACCAGTATAAAATTGCACAAATGTTTCCGGTCCACTGAATTAGATGGCTAGCAGAGAAATAAAAAAACTATAAACGAAAAACCCTCCTACGTGTATATGTATCATGGCCAGGAACATCGTGAATGTCTATTATATTATTTACTTTAAATATAGCTATCATATGTATATCTATCCTTTACTTTTACAACGTGTTTTCTTGCATATACATGTTTTTAAAACGTAAAATTAAACGTATTATGAGGACAGTAATGATTAATCTATGAAATAGAAATGAAAATGATGCTCAATTAATATCATCAAAAGGGCCAATTTTCTTTTAATTTAAAATACCCATTAAAGGGATATTTAAACATTTTTTACAAGTGGTTATTACATACATATCTATCATAACTATATATTTACCTCGTGTACATCTGCCTCTTTTGGTATATATGAAGAACAATCAACACATTATGTAAATTATGAACATTGACCTTTACTGATCTTATTAGAGGTACATTGCCTTGCAATGATGAATAAATTTGTGTTCCATTTTTACTCAATGTTAAACATTTGTTTTACATTTATTATTCACCTTTTTGTTTATTCTTTTTATATATAACCTTTGGCAAAATTGTCGGATAAAGAAAGGGTTTCACATCTAAATAAATATAAAATACATAACTTATAAATAATAAATAGATATGGCTGTCAACGACCATATTTTACTCAAAGCCAGGAGGACTTCAACTTCTCTAAATAATCATTTAAAAATATTTATTTCAATATAGTAAAATCATTTGGAATACATTTATGTTTTTCTAGAGTTGCTAGTTTTTCCTCTTTTTGGATGGCATCTTATTGAAGACTTTGGATTAATGCGCACAAATCACATGTTTTCAATGTTTGCAAAGTTGTGTAATTTGCAATTTTTGTTATACTTTATGATTTGTAATGTTTCCCATACCTAATTGTTTATTATTTGTTACCCTGTATATAATATTTCTAATTTTTACTTTACCTTAATATTTTGTCAGCTTTACTTTATCTTATTGCTTAATATAACTACATCATTTTAAGTGGTTGTCATACTTATTATTTGTATCATTTGAATTGTTTGTTCAAAATAGATTATTTGTAACGTTTGAAATATTTCAACATTGATTATGCAAGATTTTCCAAAATGGATTGTTTGCAAGATCTTATATTTTGCAATGTTTTCCCAAAAGGATCCCTTTGCAATTTTTCCTTTTCATTTGGGAATTTTATAATTTTATTATTTTCAACTGTGTTTCATTTTTTCCCCTTCTGCATTTTTTTCCCTTTTCCTTGTGTGTTTTTATTATTAAAATATTTTTAAAAATTTTTTTCCCTATGAAATTGCTTTTTTCTTTTAAAAATGCTTTTCAATGTAATGTTTTTATTTTTCTTATTTGCAAAAGTTTTTCCAAAGGGTTTTTTTGCTTTTGCCATATTTATATTAATTTTTCAATGTTTTCCAAAAAAGGTTTTTTGTTTGTTTTCCTATCCTATAATTTGCAATGTTTACCCAAATGTATCGTTGGCAATGTGTTCCATACTTTATCATTTGGAATATTTTCATAATTGCATTATTTGCAATGTTTGTCGTTACATTTTTCCCATTTCTGGATTTTGTTTCCTCAACTGTGTGCCTGACATTATTATAAACAATATTTTCCATAAAGGATTATTTGTCATATTTCAACATTGATTTTGCAATGTTTTTCAAAATGGATTATTTTCAATGTTTGCCATGTATTTCATCATTAATTTTGCAATGTTTTCCAAAATGGATTATTTGCTATGTTTGCCATATTTCATCATTAATTTTTGCAATGTTTTCAAAAATGGTTTATGTGCATTGTTTGCCATATCTTTAAATTTGCAATGTTTTCTCAAATGTATACTTTGCAATCTTTTCCATACTTATCAGTTGGAATATTTTCATAATTGCATTATTTGCAATGCTTGTCGTTACATTTTTCCCATTACTGGATTTTGTTCCTTCTATTGTGTGCCTTACTTTATTATTAACAGTTTTTTCCAAAATGGATTATTTGCCATATTTCGTCATTGATTTTTCAATGTTTTCCGAAATGGATTATTTGCAATGTTTGCCATGTTTCATCATTAATGTTGCAATGTTTTCCGAAATGGAACCTTGGCATTGTTTGCCATGTCTAATGATTTGCAATGTTTTTCCAAATGTATCCTTTGCAATGTTTTCCATACTTTATCATTTGGAATATTTTCAATACTGCATTATTTGCACCGCTTGTCATTACATTTTCCCCTATACTGCATTATGTTCCTTTAATTGTGTGCCTTACTTTTTTATTAACAGCGTTTTCCATTATTGCTTATTTGCATTGTTTATCATTCTCGATAATAAACACAGTTACTTATATTGCAGTTGCTGCTGCGGTATTCATACATTCTTTTTGTCTATGTTTGTATACTTTATCAATGGCAATGTGTGGCATGCTTAAACATTTTCTTATACTCTTGATTTTGCTGTTAATTTAGATAAATTATAAAGATGTTACATTTAATCGTAACATATTATGGTCTAATGTTTCTAACCTTCAGTATCACACTTTGAAATAACTGTAGAAAGATGCTATATTGTGATGTCATTTTGTATGCATATTTTATAATAAGGTATAAGTTACAAATAGTGATGTGTTGATATTCCATAGGTGAAACCTTAACAGGATCTATATTGTGAAAAGTACATATAAGAAACAATCTGTAAATGTAGCATAAATACCATTTGAATTTATAAAATGTGTTTAAATGATTTAATATTATTTGTTCTTTTTTCAACTTTAGTATGATTTTATTTATTCTTTGTTTCGTTGTTTTTGGTATGTTTTCGTGTTGTTGTTGTTTGTTTGATGTTTTTTATATTGTTTTTTTTATTTTGTTTGTTGGAAATCTGAAAACAAATGATACTATTCTATTGATATATGCTTACTGTTGACATAATTTTTATTACTTATGACATTTGTTTACTACTGACATAATTGTGTTAACTACTACCATATGTGAACTATTGACCTAATTATGCTAATTTTTGACATATGTTTAGCATTGACTTCATTATAGTTACCATTGACATAATTATTCTTACTTTTGACATAATTATGCTTACTTTTGACATATCTATTTAACTTATGTTGACATATGTTTACAAATGACATTCTGTATTACAGTAACAATTTGAAAGAATGTTGAACCAGTATTTAATGACCATGGCCTAATGAACAATTTTAGTTTAAATTAAAATACAGTATTCATATTAATCACATTTTTATGGATAATCTTTATGTGATATCAAGCCCACCCAAGTGTACAGGTCAAAGTCAAACTAACTTTAGATTTTGATTTAATTATTTTTAAGTATATAGTTAATCAATATCCCACATGACTCTCAGAGAGTTCTATAAATATCCTTTGGACTGGATCATAAGTTTTTAATAGATAAAAATGTGGGGCAGTCTTTTTATACTTGAAGCAGTTATATATTTTTCATTATCATACAGCACATATCTACAATGAAAAAACATGCATAATATCACTTTGAAATATTATATCATACATGTACATGTATGTGAATATATATATATATATAATTGACTTGAGATACCAAATAACTTTATAAGCCATATCTTGGTATGTTCATGTCAGATGTTACATATCAAATATGATGATTGCAATTATTTGGTAAAAAGTTTGAATAAAGATAGATTATTTTTCATGATATGGCAAATGAGTTGTTTTTCATTTTTTTCATACACATTGTTTGATAGTGTTCCGGTAAAACCACAACGGACACTGAAAAAATGACATCTGGCAACTTTCCAGCTTTACTAGTTGAGGAATATCCATATGACCCTCCAATGACATGCATTAATTCAGGCACAATCAAGGCTTAAAAGAACCTGAACCACAGACATTCTGTAAACTGACAGGATAGCTCCTAGCATGTATTCATACATGTTGTTCATGTTAAGTGATATACAAAATTCAATGTAATTACTAAATGGAGAGCTGGAAGTTAAAGTAGCATGTTCTTCCGCATCAGACTGAAGTTTCAAGTGTTTGCATGAGTGTAAGAAACTGTCGTTTTACATTCCTATGTACCATGCTGAAACCATGAGTAAAGGGGGAAAACAAAAGGTGCATCAACATTTTTTAAAGAAGGCTAGATTTGAAGATTTTTTTCCGGGGAGTGGGGGGTCATAATCTCGCTTCTAGAGTGGAGATATTGCACACATGAACAAAAAGCACAGTATCTCAACACGCTGTACAATTATTTGGACTGGACTAGGGCGACGCCATATCCCTGTTATGAATGAAGTTTATATGATGCTATAAGAAATTTACAGCACTTCACTTGAAATAAAATTATTCATTTTGGAATAAATAATCAATTTGTAATACTGAAAAAAGAATAAACAAGAATTAAAGACTAGTTGTCGCCACAGCCCCTTATATCGAACTCTTGAGTTACTATTTAACAGAAACTCTGAAGAGCCAGAAAATATAAAATTATTATATAATGCCACCAGTAAACATTTAGTAGCCTGCTATCGAGCCAGAAAATATAAAATGATATTATGTCACCAGTAAACATTTAGCAGCCTCCTACCATTTTATACTTCAATATCTTATTCCCCAAAACTTCATAAACTGGTACAAATTCAATTCAACGGTTGTTTATTGCACAATCAGTAGAGAACAGATATAATTATGATAAATAATAGCGTGACAACTTCTGTACAAATTTGTTATTAGTAATTTGCACTTCTAGTTGGTCTAGTGCACATCATGTGCACAATGGTGGGAAATTTAGTGTGACCTGAACTGTATGTATTGCTATATGGTTACATCAAATTTTACCGCTACAAATGTTTAGCATTCCTATGTTTCTTATTTTTCTGTTGTTATTGATCAGTTTATTTCCAAATATAGAGAAGACCTCTGCACTGATGGGTATGAAATCATTAGCCGATAATCCTTATTGGCAATTAACTGCGGTTGGCATTGTTACATAATATAAGTACCGTCTTTAGGTAACTGCCCAAATAAACAACTGAGAATACGGAAAAGGGGTGATCCCTCTGAAGCAACCCTCGGAAGCTATGAAAACAACAAAATTACAATAGTAGATATAATAATAAAGATGATGATAATAATAATAATAATAATAACAATAATAATAATAATATTAACAATAATAATAATAATAATAATAATAATAATAATAATAATAATAATAATAATATTAATCAGTTGTGGATGATTTTTATAATAAATCAACAATTAAACAGCCATCAGCAACTGTTATGTCTCAGTTTAAACTTGTACAGTTCTGATGCAAGTAGGTTTAACATTGATGAATGAATATAGCCGTTAGACTGTGATCTTCACCAAAGTAAACCGGCAAGGTGTATCCATTAGTGTCTTTGTACCTGAATTGTGTGGAATCTTGATTTGATGGGTCACATAATGTTGAGATCTTTCGTACAAACACTTCTTCTACCTATAATGAAATTTATTAAAATACAAGATACAACAAGAGTTGTCACACAAGTGACGAATGTCCCCGAAAAAGTTTCTTAAGCATGCAGGTGTTATGAAAAGAAAATATAATGAAATAAACTAATTGCTTAATATTGTTCTTGTGAAATGAAGTGCCATTTATAGCAAACTTAACACCTTGGAACAAGGGACTTGGATGCGACACAACATCTTGACGTGGTATTAATGCCTAGTTATTTTAAAATCCTTCAATGCATGACAATGTTACAGTCGACATATTCTTCAAAATATAAGTGTGACCTTGACCTTTGAAAAGGGACGTTGTTTTTGGGCGCGACACAAAATTGTCATGTGATAGACATTTGTGCATAGTTATTTCAAAATCCCTCTCAATGCAGGACAAA